CCACCCCCCCCCACCGTCCAAACTTACCCCGTTTCCCTACTCATCATCCGCCCTCAACCCACAAACTACTCAAAGTTTCATTCCTTTTCTTCTGTTTCGTTCCGTACAAAACCCCTAGTCTCATCCCCGAACCCCACGTCGTCCTGTTCCATCCGCTCTGGCTACTGATCTTGTTCGACTGATCAGCCATTCACCGTGTCGCTCCAACGCCCGTCACCAGATTCACTCCTACTACACCTCTTGCCATGCCAACAGCCTTGTAACCAAAACAGTCCCGCTGACGTCATCAGTCTGCATGAGATTTCACCTTTCCATTCATGCAACAAAAGGCTGCTAACCTGCGATCGCTGTTAAGGAGATTCGAGCTCCTGTCTGTACAACAACTTACTACATAACTCAACACACTGACGATCACATTCGCACCCAGACTGCTTCCATCATGGACAGACAGCTTCATCGCCCAAAGCCCAACCCCGCGAGAACAATGGAGTACAGGTACTTGGAACCCAGCAACCCAAACCCTCAAATACTGCACACTAACACTAACAGGAACCAAGGCTCAATCCCTGGGTACAACCGCAGAATGAGTCTTCCAAGTGATCCAGCCTCACATCTTCCGACACAAACTGTACCAACCAGCATGGCGCAGTCCCGGAGAGATTCACAAACTCTCTTCTTCGTAACGGCACCCAGTCAAGCTCAAGGCTCCCCGACAAGGCGGCGAGACGACGGCATGTCCCATATGGCCCCGCCGAAGAGAGAAAGCCATGCGCTTGTCTTGTACACTACCTTGTCGATCAGCCCTGGTGCTAACACGTCACAGCTTGAGTCTGGCTCAAGAGCAGCGCTTCCTGGCAATTACTATGGCTATTCTGGACCCGAGCAACAGCGTACGGGCCCTTCGGCAGTCCCTTGGGATGGATCCAACGTCGCATCGGGCCCCGGCCCCGGTGGCCTTAACGATCTGCAGCTGTCTACCCACCAGATGCAAGGTAGTGCTTATTCTCGATTAAGACCAGGAGACTATCGTGACCCGCACCAGGTAGCGCCAGAATCCACCCCCCAATTGGATACGCACGTATATGGAAATCCGATAGGCGGTCAGAATGTTTTTGACAACGCATTTGGCCGGCCATACTGGCCTTCTTCGTCGCATGACAATGAAGACAAGTTTGCAGACCCCGACCTGGGGCAGAGGAGTCGCGGAGAACAGCAGATGGCGCCATGGACCCTGGACCCCGTCCCAAAACTTCCCTATCAACGCCCGGCGCAAGCGGAACCTCTCTCGCAAACAGCCCCAGGCCAGTACGTTAGGTCTTTCGGTGCACAGCCTTCCAACGAGGACTACGCCCTACAGACACAACCGAGGCCACTCTTTTCCGATCAAGTGCCTCATCGCCAACATGGCACTGCCCTCAGCACCCTCAATCCCTCCGGCATTCGTCAACGGCATCCCAACCAGAAAACAAAAACTAACACGGCAGAACCAGGGCGTGTTTTGGCCCTGCATGAATCGAGGCCTGATCTGTCTTCGCTCCCGATAGCTCCAGGCTCAAAGCAGGAACCAATACCCTCCACACTGACAGGACCATCAACAACTGTAGCAACAGCAATTCCCATTGCTTCTAGCGTACATGACAGCCATGACGGCAACACGCAAGGGGACAGTGCTGGGCAAGGACGTTTCGTATGCCAACACAGCGGTTGCACCAAGAGGTTTGAACGGCGATACAGTCTTACGGTGCACTTTCGGACGCACACAAACGAGATGCCATATGCATGCAAGGTCGCTGGATGCTCACAGAGGTTCAAGTGGCGGTCGTCCCAATCTCACCACTTGCGAACACGGCATCGTGGTGTGCTCATCGAGAAGGCACCGGGGAAGCGGACCGGAGGTAACGGCAAAGGGCGACGCGTCGATGGTGCGGCCTCGAGCAATGGCTCTGACGGCGGAGGGGTGACAGGTGTGAGTGGAGATCGGGCTGGACACCATAGCATGGCGGTGGATGGAAGTAAGCGAAGCCGCGATGAGAGTAGCAAGGCGGAGGCGGTTCCGACGAAGCGGCTTAGAGAGTCTGGAATGCTTTCGAAGGATCCATAGCAGACCGCGCATATCTCACACGCGCGCCAGCCCAGGTTGGTCGACTGTAAGTTGTACGTTCCTCATACGAAATAAACAAGTCCCCTGTACGTGCCTTGATTGTGGGCGCAGATCGTGGAGTTCGCAGCACCTCCATAACCTCTAGAGTGAACGCATCCGCGCTGCGGAAGCAGCACCGAAATGCCGACATACCTAAACCGAAACGGAGTGACAGCGATTTTTGAACAATCCGTTATAGTCATTCCGTTGATCGTGGTGGGCGCTGTGTGCACACTACGGTCTTCGGGATCGGCAGCACGAGCTCGTCCTTACCTTGACATGCCAATTGAAGCCGTTCTTCAAGCGAAAGCCCAAAGCAAACCCCTCGCCGCACCACCCCGATGGGCACGCTCGATCTCTCCGGCCTCTCTCTCATAAAGAGCGTGCCATGCTGTTCGAACAAAGCTGCGTGCGACCGAAGACGAACGCGGTAGCGACTGTGTGTCGTTGCTCTGGGCAACCAGCTGTTGTGCAAGCGCATCACCTGGCGACTGCGAGCTCGCACACAAGGCATCTCGCCCAGCCCTTCAATTCGAAAGCAGGTGTCTTCGTGCAAAATGCAATGCACTCTCTGGTTGGCCATTTCCTTCGGGCAGAACAGCCTCTAACCAACTAAATTATGACAATTGGAGAAACGAATCCCGTTTCACACGTGTAACCATGCGAGTGATTTGTGCCCGGAAGACGGACCTCCCCCCCCCGCTGCCACAAACCCTCGCAATGGCATTCCTTCCTGTCCTCGTCCCGACCGCGCGGCCCCTTCCCCGTCGCGCTATCTGCCACACACGCAAGTCCTCCCGCCGACCACGCTCCGCGCCGCGCATGCTCGAGCCCGGGCCCGGGCCCGACATCTACGTCATCACCGGCAGCGTCGCTTTGTGCATCCCGTTCTTCGTGGCCGCAGTGCTCTTTGGAGAGCGCATCGTCCGCCAGAGAAGGTGCCAGCGATGCAACGGCTCGGGGCTTATCCTTAGGGGGAAGAAGCAGAGATACGGCCGGTGCCCAGAGTAAGTTGCCCGCTCGACTTTTAGAGTTGCACCAGCCCGACCCCTGGAGATGAAAATGGGAGTGATCCATCAGCAACGGAAGAGGTAGGTCATGCGCAGTTGTCCAGTAGTCCTGACAGTTTATTCCACATGCGCTCCTGCGTGCCGCTTTATATCACTATTGTTATGTATGGCAATGCCAAGATGCGGTGGGTTTCTGCCATGGCAGAGCTGGAGAAGGTTCTTCTTGGGATAGACGGCTGCCTCTCTATCGTATTGCTTACGGCACCTTAATACTGTAAGACTAGCGATCCCTTCAGTCGCAGTGTGGACACACTCCATGGATAGATGAACTAAGCAAAAGAGATCCGTCCGAACAACGTCAACGCCTCTGGGTATTGCTCTCTATGATACTGCATACTTGCATCCAACCCAGATCAATTCATCCGCCTATTGCGCCGATAAACAGCCATGTTCGCATTGTCAGACATCGTTCCCCTGTTTCCGTGTGTCTACGCAAATATATTGCAAGCATAATAAATAGTTTACCATCTTCATTAAGGGCCGTGTCCTGTAGTCATCCAGTTAAAGAGTCTGCGATATTGCATCAGCACCGTGCACCCGGGTGTCTGCAACGGCAAATCAACTTTCGACCACGTCTCCAAACTCCTCGTCACGTACACGCTAAGCCCGACTGTCGTCGGATAATCTTCACCTGCTTTCCCATAGTTATTGGTATCTTTCCCCATCAGACTATGCACATCGCCAGCAACATGCTGCGCTGACCACAGCAATTATCCACGTAGAGCGTGCACAGTCATTGCAGTTTCCATCAACCTTCCTGCCTTCACGACTCGTTTCCGCCCTATGCAAATCCAAACCCAACGCTGCATTCCCGAACTGCGCGAAGCAATCTCTCTGACAAAATCTCTGCGCTGCTATACTCTGGCAAATCCATTTGATTGAAGCAAGTGTGAGCCGAGGGAAGGCGCATTGTGTTCCCGGAAACACGGTGAATCTGGAACTTTTGCAGCCCATTCATACCCTGAAGCGTCCCAAAGCCCTCCAAGGGCACTTTGCTGGTTCCTGTCACAAACATCACGAGACGCGCCAGGTCTTCTTGATCCATGTTAGAAACACATCTCCAGAACCATGTGACCTGCGGTGATGAGGCAGTGTAGCCTGTATATTCCACATTCGCTTTCAAATCAGCCATGTCAATGTCTGGCAACCCCGACATGAGTAGTTCTAGTTCCAGCTCGTTAAAGATCTTAATGTCGTCGCAGGGAATGAGCTCGTAGAATCCCTTTTTGAAAGCTTCAATCTGCTTCTCGATCGTCTTTGTCATACGCACTTCCGTCACCAACCGTACATATTCACCCTTATTCTCCTCTGTAACTGGAATTTCCCTTCCATTTGGCACCAGATCGACAACCGATTGCTTTCCAAATTCATCATATTCTGCACTCATGGTATAATCTAACACACCCGTGATATCATTCTCCATCATCCATTTCAAAGAGCGATAATACTCGGGGTCTTGAGCCTCAATATCATGATAAGTTGGTTTCAAACCAAGAATATGCTTATAAAATGAACGTGTGAAGTACGCATCCAAGAGCTGTCCATCGTAGATTGCTTTCCCAATAATCCTCCCCACAAATCGGAAGTTCTCCAGGTGTTCAGAGTGAAAATAAGAGCGCTTATCCGGCTGGTAAGTCGCAGCCTTTGCAGCTGATCGCGTAAACAGGACATAATTCGGGTCAAAAATTTGCCTTGCTAAAACGATGTACCATTCCCTTGTAACCCCGCCGGCATCCACTCCCTCCTCTCCCTTGAACTGCACATGCAACCTTCCCTTCATTTCTTCAGGCGTGCGCTTCCGCAACCTTGTGTAAGAGTCATCAAATACACGCTCTCGGCGAATATCATTGAGACGTATGGTTCCTGCGTGGGCCTCAGAACTGCGTTTCTTGATAACATTTCGAAAGTAAGCCTTCTTGTTATCAAAATCAATCGCCTGGGGATGACGCAAAGCACCTTTGAATGACGATTCAAGCAGAGACGGATTAGCATGCAACAGTGCATTGATTGGTACTCTGTGTCTCTCCACAAAAGCTGCGAGATCCCCATCTGAGGGAGCGAAGGTAGCATCACGTGGACTTGATGGTATCCTTCCGAGTGTCGGTGAGCCCGGTGAGCGGGGTGATGGCGGAGGGAGATTTTCACCAGGTTTCGTGGGGTCCTTAGCTGTATGTGTAATCAAGAACGCCTCTATCATTGCGCTCAGCCGAGCCAATATGGGTGATATAGTTCGGGCCGCCGACTTCATCCTGCCAACATTCAATACAGTTGACTGAGATAGAGAGGACCTAGATGACGAGGGTTGAGCCTTGCCATCTCTCAACGCGCCCTCATCCGAAGTAAGCTCCAGTATTCTGTCAAGGGAGCTCCATAAAGCCTTCAATCCTATGATCATAGTCGGACGGAAGCGACTCTGAGTTGAAACTGTATCCTTACGTGCTTCTCTCGGAGTTGAGTCAGAATCTCCCATGGCATCTTTCTTTGACTCTGTGTTGTTTCCTTGGTCGCTATCCTCAGCCTTCGAAACTGGTTTCTTCGGCGCAGCCTCCTCAGCTTCGTGTTCCCACAGAGCAGCTAAGGACTCCACGACACGCAACAACGTTCGCTCGTTAGCTGTACTCGCAGACGAAAATGAAGCAATGACATCTCGTTTCTTTCTCTTCGGTTGGGGCCCTGTCGCCGCCTCCAACGCCTCAATGAGCTGAAGATATTCTTCATGGACAGCTTGTCCGGCGTTAACGGCAATTTGAACGAGTGACTCCACAAAAATTATTCGGATCGGTACCAATTCGCCTAAGATGCCTATTGAACGGCTGACTCGCTCATACGTCTTTTCACTGCATCCTGAACGAAGAAGAACCCTAGTTAGGAGTACCAAATCCTCTCTCTTAAACGCGGGAATGCGATACTGCGGGGGAATGTGAACTACTGACTCCTTGTCTTTCTTCGCACCATCGCCGTTGCTTGTCGACCGTGTGCGCGAACTACGCTCCTGTCTTTCAATGTCTGGAGATTCGAACACACCATGATCATCCTCGCTATCGTCGTCGTCGTCGTCGTCTTCACCATCGTCGGCTATATGATAGATTCCTTGAGGATCATCGTGAGTATCCAACAGTACCGTCATTGACTCATGAATATCGTCATTCAAATCAGATATCGATCGTCGGAGGCGTGCCAGCGACCCAGGCCGTTTCGGATCCGAGTTGTCACAAAACGCCGGCGGTAAATTCAAGCAAAGAATGCTTATCAAGCTCACGAGCTGCTCCATATGTGACTGGCTCCGTTCGAAGAGCGGGTTATCTAAGAGTGAAACAAGCGTTGCAAGGCTGGTATTGCCGTTGTGGTAGCTCATTGTAGTGCTCTCTGTGATTTTCTTCGGGATGAGCCCAAGTTCTTGGTTAGATTTCGGCAGTCCTAGGAGATTTTCCGCAACGACGCGGTCGTTTTTGCAAAGCAATGTTAGCATTTCCAAAGCGCGTCTCGCTGTCGTCCCATGTTGTCGGGAGAAATCCTCCCCCATATGCTTGTCGGCATGAATTTCTCGTTGTCGGGCATCTTGAAAAAGGCTGCTGGTGAGAAGTTCGACAAGCTGCTTCAAGATAAGTTCTCGGGCTTCCGTATTTTTTGAGGCCTGAGAAAAAACATGATACAGGGATGTCTTGCCATAATGTCCGCGTCGCAACAGATGCATCTGAATCAAAGCAGAGAGTCCATCTGCCTTAAGGGGACACGTCGGTTCGTCCGCTGCCTTTGGACTCTCTCGCAACCAACCATATTCAACCTTCTTCCAGCGATACGCTGGTGGTTGTTTTGGTGTTGAGCGGCTTCCGTGCCGACCCTGGCCATGACCGCGCAGTCCGTTGGTAAAGCGTCGGCCTTCAAACCCGAGGATGCCAGATTCTGGCCAAAGCATACGTGCGTTGGAGTCTCTCGCCCGCAGCTCTCGAGCCTCTGCTGCCGCGCTGGGAGGGAGCGACTGAATATCTGCGTCAGCCGACGTCCGAAGGATATCAGCCCGAAGCTCTGGCGCTAAAGTCGCAAGGAAGGTAGCATTATCCATTTCAGCTGCACCAGCCGGTCCAGACCCTTCCCTATTTCCGTTCGCCCCTGGTCCAGTCCCGTTGCTCCCAGATGCATTCTGCTGTCGTTGCTGGAACTGGACTTCCAGCTCTAGGACTTCAGCCCTCAAAGCCGGTGGCAGCGCGATCAAGAACACCTGAGGCACGGTTGTAGTAGAAGCTGGAGAGGATGAGGTGCCCGCCTCCTCCCTCGCGGTAGAGTAAATCCGCTCGTACTCCCGACTGAAGATATCTGCCCTCATCTCATCAGGAAGCGCGGCAAGGTAGGCGGGGTCAATTCCAGTACTGGCGATGGCCGCTTCCACCACCTCCGGATTCCGATTTGCTGGGGCGTCCAAAGAAATTCCTGCCGCAGCGGCACGGTGAGCTGCAACCGCAGAGACATCATTGGAATCTATCGCAACCTCTTCATTTGCGGGAGCCTGCGCAACTTCGCTGGATGGTTCTGCTGCTCTTCGTGAAGTCTCTTCTTCTCTTGCCTCTTCTTCCTCCTCAGCCTTCTTTTTCTCTGCCTCCGCTTTCTCCTTCTCGGTCTCCTTTTTTACCTCTTCACGTCGCTCACGCTCTGCGACATCCTCATCAATCTTCGTCATCTCCGTAAGCAGAGTTTCTAGCCGGCCCATAATCCTGGTGCTCAGCGTGTTGACAGCCTCATGCGACTCGGGAGCGAGTAGAGGGATGTTTGGATTCGGTGAGCGTCCGTGTCCCCTTCCACTTCTGTGAGCAAGATCGTTGCCGAACATGGCCGGTAAATTGTCGCCGCCGAATGACGGCGGGTCGTAAACCCACCTCTTTAGCACGCCGCTCGGAATCTTGTCTCGATCTCGGTCGCGCGAATGTGCGAGCCGATCATACGAATGTCTCCCGCCGCGCGGCACATGGCCCGAGAAGAAGTCCAAGGGACCCGGCATCTGCATCGGCTCGACAGAACGCACCAAATCGCACTCAGCAAGGTAGTCAACTTGATCGCGAGAACTAGATAACGAGCCCGTGCCATGCGCTCTCGCACCGGACGTCGTCGGGGCAGTTTCCGTGTCGCGGCGAGGTGCGACAAGGCCGGAATCTGCGGGCGAGGCCGCGACAGAAGAGGGCTCGGCAGCCTCTACCGAGTCCTCCGTAGCTACGGAAGAGGATGGGCCGGCACCGCCTCGCGATGGAGCGGATGACCCAGATGCCATTGAGGTATCTGCTGACACTTCTATAGGTGTGGGTTCCGCGCGTGCAATTTGGAGTTGGGGTGTGGAAACAGCGATAGGCGGGGGGGGTCGTTCCGACGCGTCTTGGTCGTCCGAGGCGGCAGCCGCAGCCGTGATGTAGCCAGAAACGTCGGTCATTGCCTGAGAAACTCGGACTTGTGGCTGGCGCGTCGAGTGGGATAGAGGTCTTAACGGGGAACGCTCCGCGGAAGTGGCACGTGTGAGGGTGGAAAACAAAGAGCGGGTAGCGTCGACGACGTGCTGGCCCGCCGGGGGTGTCGGGGGACGCAGCAGCATGGGATGGATAGCCGAGGCGGTACCTCTGAGCGACAGGTCGGCGGCGAAGACGCGGGAATCGCACATGGGCATGCCGGAGGAGAGGCGGGAGGCGTAAGTGAAGAGCAGGGAGGGGTCCGTGCGCTCGACTTGCCAGGGGGCAACGGTGTCCAGGCGCAGACGGATGGAGCCGCCTATCGCGGAGAGGAGCTGGGTAAAGTTGCGGGTGGGCAAGGAATCGAAAGAGTCGAGGAAAAAGTGACTCGACAAGTTGGATAGGTCGCCGGAACGCATGCCAACTCGGCGCGACGGGAGGAGAAATGGGGCGTCCGGGACGGGCATGTGAGAGAAGTCAGAAAGGGATAGCGGCGTGAGCTGGTTTGGAAATGGGGGGGGCGCGTCAGAGTGCAGTGCAGCCCGATAGCCCGAGGCGGAAAACGCCGAGGCGATGACGTTGAGGACATGTGGACGGATGTGGGAGTTTAAGACGTCGTCGTCGTCGTCATCTTCGTCTTCCATGTCGTCGTCGTCGTCGTCATCATCATCTTCTTCATCATCGTCGTCGTCAGGCATGTCGTCAAAGTCGCCGTGCGAACCAGTGGAGTCGCCGTCATCGTCCGGTTCGCTGAGATCGAAGCGGAAGCCGGCGTGCGAGGGGTCCGAGGAAGACATAGAGGCGTCGTCCATGGACGACGAGTCTGACGAGGTTGGAGACTCGTCCATACGCGAATAGTGAGGTGGGGGGGGGGGAGGGAGGGAGGGAGGGAGGGAGGGGATTTGGGAGGGGGTGATGAGAGGAGTGGCTGAGGAAAAGCGTGGAAAGAAAAGCAAAGGTTTAGGGCAGAATGTGATGGGCGCGGTGGGGCAGCACAGGTGGAGACAGCGTAAACAGAGCAGAGGTTGGGGGTTTTTTTAGTGTCGAATTTCGAGAAACGAAATACGAAAACGCTGAAAACATTACTGTAAGATTTTGAATTAGGCTGTAAGAATACTGTAAGACGAGCGCGAGGTTCTGCTGGAGGTGAGCGTGTACATTCTGTAGCCAATTAAGAACGCACAAGTACTGAGCCTGCATGCGCTGGAACGTGCCTCGAGTCCTGCGGGCCGCATTCAGAGCCGGGCGAGCGTGTGATGGTCGAGAGTGTCTCTCAAGAGTGAGGGTCACTCCGAACGAAGAGTTGGCGATGCCAGCACCGGAGCACCCTGACATTTGGCATGAATGGATTGGTTGAATGAGAGGAAAGCTTTTCCAATAATTTTTTATAAGTCTCTCAAGAGTGCAGGGCCGTGGACGTGTCCAATTTGTGATTCAATTGTGATTCAATCTCGCTCCGCGTACCGATTCACACATTCTGACCAGATTTAATGCCTTCCGACACGCGTCCGACCTAAACGTACCTCACACGTGTTCTCATGCGGTTCTGCAAGAGGCCCCCGCAACCTTGCCCGTCTTCCCTATTTACATTACTCGTTCAATGTGGTGGTTGCCTAGGTCTAAACCACTTTATCATCATGATTTTCGGCACAACTTGTATCTTTGGGGCGGGACGGGACGCTGCTGCTGCATTCACGGCCTTCCGTCGAGGCGCTTCATCCTTCATCCAGATCCCTACATGCTTGCTTCGGGAGTATGGAAGACACTGCTTTTTTTCTCTTTTCTCCCAGTCTTCCTGAAACTCAAAAAGCTCGTCCAGAGGAATCACCAACTTTGCGACCACTCTTTTGGTTTTGAAGACCTATCCAAAATTGCTTCCAGATTTCAAATGCGTCACATATTCTCTCGTTGTGCCTTTGTAAAAAACTATAGACAAACGTAATCAGGACGCCTAAGGACGGGTTCTTTTCACTCTACATAGCGGAGAAGCACACTTGTACGCCACATGCGATGCAGCGTTCCTCCATGGCGGACCTACGAATCCGACAAAGCAGCAGTTGGTGTCAGCCGACGAGGCAGAGACTGACCAAGCTTCACAACGCTCCTTTTTTTGCCAAACTGATGACCAACAGCCACTCACAAAGGCATGCAGATGGACTTATTAGGCGCATGGGAATGTATCCCACTACAAAATGTGGCTCCATACAATAGTATTACTGAAGTCGGACTCGCGCAGATTTTTTAGAGTCACGCTTCCGACGCTAAACTTGTCTCAGATGAATGTCCTAATCCTTCTCGGACGAATCGGCTAATTGTTAAAACGTCCCTGACAGATCAAAAATCCTTCCCTTCTGTTTTACCGCTTTCAGTCACACGAAGGACCCAGTTTTTCTTCCTGCGACGTAACTGTTCGTTATTCTATTCTAAACATCTTTTACAGAGCTGGAAAGAGTTCGCATTTTTCTTGGCCCCTAAAAGCCGCACGAAGGATCTCGAACCAATTCTGTTGCCAACAATCAATACTAAAATGATTCGAATAAGCCTGCCAAGCACGCCCCTTATCAAAGCCTTACAATTCATGACAAATACACTTGCGCCCGTCAATGCCCTTCAGAAGGAAGGAAAGTAGAACGCGGCAGGACCTGTAGAAGGTATATCAATAGCACGATGACAGAAACTAAAAAACGCTATCTCTGCCTATCTGGAAATGAGCCCACCACCGCCATCGCGCGTGATGTAGAGCTCTACCTCCCTGTACACGTAGGTCGCCACTACGTGTACGCGGGCCGCCTCAAGCCTGCAGTGACATGAGGCAAGCTGGAGCAAGGAAGAGCGTCTGTCCCTCCCTGGGTGCGGCGAGAATGGAGGCGCTTCATCTTCCCACGTGCTCCTAAACCCATCTGATCGCGAACAGATTGGTTTAAGTTAGTCGAGTGGCTACAGCAGCCCACTCGAAATGCGATCTAGTTCTGACTGTTTAAGTTGGGTGCTACCCACGCTACAGAACCCCACTCTAGGAATAAAGACTTTGCTGACTTCGAGCTACAGACTCGTGGGCAGAGGGGAACGTTCGTGTGCCCATTGACTTGCCTCTTCTGGGCTCTCCCGGCACAAAGCTTTTTATCCCAAGCGAAGCGTTCCCTTTCAGCAGACACTGCCGCCTCAGCTGGTGAGAAATAACAAGAGCGTGCATACTTGATAGACCTTCAGTTGGCCATTCTCGAGTGCTGTTCGCTCCTTACTGCAAGTTTTGAAAGTTTTCTTCATACAAGTCTTTCCCGCCTACTCGCAGAGGGCCTGTCTATCTCAATGCCAACCCCTTATATCCTAGAGATTGTGACAAAGTTGATTTTTCTGCAAGCCAAAGCTGGGGTGTTCCGATTCCATCGTTTGTACCGTGGTGGCCAGATAGATAATGCGCGTTTGCTTTTCGATAGTTAGTTCCTGCCAGCTCTTCCGGGACGCAAGATTCTTCTCCAGCTGTCTATGACAAGGTTTCGCACTATTTGTACACAACTGCAGCCGCCTGGAAAGCAGCCACAAAGTTGGAAAGGGGAATATGACGAAAGTCTCAAACTGAAAACTGAAATTCTTTCCGAGGCCGCATAATTAGAACCTCCATTGAGAGCACGATGAAATGTTGCGCTTTAAATGTCCATGATTTTTCGTCTCTGGCGCACACGTCGTCAATTCATGTCCGAAGATATGGAGGATGTGATCTAGAAAGTAGCAATGTTTTTCATCTCGCGTACTACTTGTAACGTCTCTTCCCGCAACCTGGCGATTCTATACGATATTACCGTATCTTAGGCGCCTGGTACAGTATTCTCCTCCCTGCCACACCTCATACTTGACGTACTGTAGGATGTGCAATACTGTAATCGCGCAGTGATGAAAGCGGCATCCAGAGAGGTCTTAATTTTATTGCCCGACAGCACCTGGACACTACAGTAGAATAATGTCAATGCCTGCATGTAAAGGGCGACTTCGATGGCCCAATGTGTATGTCCCAATCCGTATCACCAAAGGCGGAAGATAATTGCTTTTCGCAAACGCTGTGGACGCCGTGTCAAATAATAGGCTTCCTGTATCCACCAAATAAATTACTCTCCAGAAGAAATTCACAAGACTACGGTCCATGTTGCCCATTCATGGCACCGAAGATGTTGCTCAACAAAGGGTGAAGGTCAAATGAGTAGGGATGCCAAGTTGGCAAATGCCAGGGCTGACCAATGATGGAGCCCTCGGCTTCTTTGAACGACAACCAATGTATCAATTCAAAAGAGAAGCATACCACGTTTTGCCCTGACTTCTGGTTGACTGCCGAAGTCGTGAAAAGCTTAAATAAGGTAAAACATCGCTCTGCTTGCTTGAGCGCACCTTCAAAACGAGCGGCTTTACCATCTTTTCGTCTTCAGTTTTAGTATCTACGTAGAAGTGACTTGGCTCGATATACCGGCAGAACAACTCTTGATTGAAATGACTCTACTTTCTGCAATTGTGCTTGCCACTGTGCTTCTTACTTCGATCGCGAGTGCACTCCCGCAAGTGGTCAGGGAGAAGAAACCGTCATGGCCCCCTGTGAAAGATCCATGCACACTGTCCCCTGACCCTGGGCCTTGTGAAGCCCTCATTCCCAAGTACTTTTATGATTCCGAGCGGCAGGTAAGTTTCAGCAAGGGAACTTGTCCTTCCCCACTCTTCGTGCTGAAGAGGCATTTGATGAACTAACGCTTCCTTTCTTCGGGACGTGTGATCTGTCGGATGTGAATTTAACCAGACTTGTGAGCAGTTCATGTGGGGTGGATGCGATGGAGTGGTTCCGTTTCATAGTCTCGAAGAATGCGAAGAGAGCACTTGCAATCCTTGTGACCAAAGCCCCGATCCGGGGCCGTGCAAAGCCCGCTTCATTCGTCACTTTTTCAACAAGGAGATAGGGGTAAGCAAGCACATTGAACCGAACGTCATACGCTTTGCGGGGTCTCGATATGCTTCTCTGACCTGTCTTCTCATTTCATATATTATCTTTGAAAGGCATGCGATACTTTTGTGTGGGGCGGCTGCTTGGGAAACGTCCCTTTTGTGACTCTGGCAGACTGCTTGGACGCCAAATGCTCAGCGCACTAGGAAAAATATGGTAGGATCTGTGTGCAACAGCGAAGAACCATGCAGACTCTTTATTCATCGACAGGATCTTTCATTTCCAGCTATCCTCACCGCACCACATGGTTTCAGCAAACGCTTTCGAGGAAATAATAGTGCTATTATATAATAGTGCTATTATAATTTAGAAAGAGTAGAACGCAGCACACTTGCCTGTTCCAAATGAATACAACGTTGCCTCTCATTAGGACTATTCTAGGGATCCCGCCCTTCTTGAAAAGTACCTCATCTCAGCAGCGATGCAGATACTTCAAATTCCACTATGCAAGATGTACAAACAGTTCGACGGTAGACGTTTCTTCTAAAGCTCATAGTGCGGGGGACGTTAAAAAAATCATCATCTCAGTGACAGAATGCTTGTACGGGAATCTAAAAATTAGTATGGCGCGTGCATCGGGGCATTTCACCCGCGTCATTAATGCCATTGCACCCATCCCCATCCATTCTAGATATTGGTCGGCAACGTGAGAACTTAGTTTCAAAGCAAATTAAAATGCATACAGACACTGCAATGTCTTCCTCACATTTCGCAATTGAGAGGGGAGGGATATGTTCAGTTCACATCTTCAGCAGTCCCCCAAGAGATTTGCTAGCCTCTGAAAAAGAAGCGATTACGCCAAAGGATTCGTTGTCTACATGGATCTCTTTCTTTACCGTAAACGCGTAAAAGTCTCTTTTCTTGCCTTAACTCTGTTTTGACTTTCTAACCTCAGTTCCTCCTACTCTGAAATGCAGTTTCTAGTGTGGGATGTGTCCTCTCATCCTTTGTAGTATTAGGGATGCAGTACTCAATGCTTGCGACATCTAGCTCTTCGACAATCATTCCGAGTATCAAAAGGAACGTTGCCACGGCAGCCTCCCCAGAAGAATCTCTCACACATCTGATAAGCACAATGAACAAGAGTGGGAATATGGTCAGTGGTACAGCCAAAGTATTCATGATATTTCTGTCAGTCTAGCAGTGTGCTTACCCTTGTCCGCTTGTCGAAGAAATATTTTGGAATCAGGGCCCTGCACGGGCCTACCTCCGGCTTTTGGTCACATGGATTACAGGCAGCACGCTTACAATGATCAAGCGTTTTAAACGGCACGACACCATGACAACCGCCCCATATGAATTGAGCGCATTTCTATTAGTTTGGAGTCTCGTGTGTGATAAACAAAGTCAGTCATCTGTTCAAACGATATGGAATGGTGCGGCACGCTCTGGAACAGAGACGCTTTCTTCTTACCTTTGTATCCTGGTTATAGAAGTATCTCGGAAAAGCACCGTAGCATGGCCCTGAGTCTGGCACCAAGAAACAAGGGTCCAAGGTTGCTGAAACTGGGGTCGGCACTGGAGCCATTTCAGAAGTCGGCTCCATGGACACTCCAGTTGACGTCAGAGATGCTAAGCATGCCACAGCAAGAGCGCTGAAAATGAAGTTTGTTGAGAACATGGTTTCTGTTGGAATGCAGACTTCGAACACTGTGAAGAGTAGTGCGGCTCCCCCGCGCAGCCATGGCGTGCCGGAAGCCTCTTTAATACTCCGGCGGAGGGCCTATTCAATGAGGCAGGCACGGGAAATCAGTTAGGGATGTGGTGCCTCTTAAAAACTCCGGCGGTGAGCCTACAGTATACTCACTGAGGCAGGGACGGGAAAGCAGTTTGGGATGTGGTGCCTCTTCGAGATTTCCATTCGATGCAAAAATCCATGACGGATATGTATTGGCCTGGAATTCGGTATTGGATACGGTATTGGATACGGTATTGGAACGGCGACATGCCTTGTGTGCATGTGGAATGAGGTACTTTGTTTTTCCGGTCTGGTGAGGCGGAAGAGGGTAGGCTTATGGACCACTTAGGCAAGAGTGAGGCGCCCTGGCCAAGACAGAATGAGGCCGTGACGGGTGGCATGAAGCCAATGAAACTGTTCCCAGAGCTCAATCACGGGTGAAGAGGGGCCGGACTACAGGTGTTTAGTGCTGGGGTCTTACCTCCGTAACTTGTCGCATGATCTTTGGTATAGGTTTTGAAGGTCAGGTCAGATAGCGTAATCCCTCGTCAGTCTGTTTTGTCTCACGACATATTCACTACGGACAGAATCTGCTGTACTTGTACACCGCCCGCACCAAAATTGCAACATGTTCCTACCACAGGACCAGGACTGGCACAGCCGCTACTACTGCATAGGCATTCGCAACAATAGTCATTGAATAAAGCATACAAGACTGCATAGGTACATGCATCCACTAGTATGAGGCCGGCTTTGGCAAAAATACATGCATTAACTTGCATATTTCGAACATCAATTTGGACACTATTTCTTGACGTACTAGCTAGAGTATAGTTGCAACGAGCTCCCAGCTCGTAATCATGCAGTGCAGGTAGTCATTCAAGTCGGCTAGAAGCGGCGGCCGGTTGCTGTCCCCGGCGAGAATTTCGGCGACAGTAGGGCCGCACACCTTAGTTTTTCTTCATGATTATAACTGTAAGTGCAGACTTGACCTCCTTATAAGGACTGGCTTGGGGGCCTCCCCTCAGGGGAAAAGGAGGGGGTCGACCTTCGGAATAAAGGAAGTTTGGACTTTGTTGCAATAGTATCTATCCGGCACAGCATTATTATAACATAAAAATATGCGAAGTTTATTTCTTTTCAACTTTGATGGCCACGATTTCTATTTTTCTTTGGAAGATTGACTGTCTTTAAATTTTTTCTCAGTTAAAACTGACTAAGAAGCACTCAAGCCCATGTTTCTATGCTACCGGTATAAAATTAGCTTAAAGAATGCTTACTGAAAACCAATATTTTCTTTTGTACACCTCTATATGCATGAACAAGTTGGTTTTCGCTAGAATCGACAAGCAAATGCTTTACCCGTGGTGATGGCCTTCTGATTTCAAAAACATATACTGACCAATGGTTGACTTTCTAGGGGCTATTGTTTCATGTTTTATATCTAACAAATCCCCTTATGACACGGTCTATCGTTCCGATCGACACACTCTAGAGAAATTGAATTCCATTCTGAAAATCGTGTTTGGCTAAGTCCGAAGACGTACACCTGTCCACTATAATTTTGCCTTGATTCTCATCCAATGGAAATGCTCAAAATAATACGTAATAATAAAAACACGTGGACACGCGGCAAGAAGGGAAACAGTTGACCACGTCCAGAGTTATCATAATGCGATTTCCCGGAACTCCCTCTCATCTTGCGACACCCCTGCATCCATCCCCTTCCACACAAATATCCAAAACACGACTGCATCCGAAACCCGTCTCAAGCGCCACTTCCACCCGGGCACCCGGCACCGCACAACCCCCCCGCACCCCCCCCCAACCTT